GTGTTTAATTTTAATTTACTTTTTGATCTGCTAGTTTTACTTTTGCTCATAATTTTTAGTTTCATTCAGTTTTTGTCAGAAAACTGAATAATTTTGATCTTATTTATTTGTTGTTGTTTTGAGATAGGATCTTACTCTGTCACCCAGATTGGAGTGCAATGGCATGATATTGGTTCAATGCATCCTCAACCTCCTTTGCTCAAGTGATCCTTCCACCTTATCCTCCTGAAGAGCTGAAACGACATCATGCACTAACATGTCTGGCTAATTTTTTTGATTATTTGTAGACACAGGGTCTCACTATGTTGCTCAGGTTGGTCTCAAACTTCTGTCCGCAAGTGATCCTCCCACCTTGGTCTCTCAAAATATTGGGATTATAGGCATGAGCCACTGCACCCAGCTAGTATTCTTAAATTTAATAACATTTGGTATATGTCCTAACGGAATATACCAGGTACAAATAGGAATATTGTGCTTTTTACTAGAGAGGATCTCTTGCTTTTGACTGGAAAGTTTTGTATGAGTCTGTTAAGCCTCTTTGGTCTATAACATGATTTGAATGTCCATGTTCTCAAAACCTGTGACTGGCTCATTTTATTTTGCATCGTGTCATTGAATTTTCACTTTATAGTTGTTAGAATATTTCCTGCGTTTTAAAATCTGGGTGTATTCCAATTTTTCTTTGTTTTGTTTTGTTTGTTTGTTTTTGAGACGAGTCTCACTCTGTCGCCCAGGCTGGAGTTCAGTGGCTCAATCTTGGCACACTGCAACCTCCACCTCCTGGGTTCAAGCAATTCTCCTGCCTCAGCCTCCGGAGTAGCTGGCACTACAGGCACGTACCACCACGCCCAACTAATTTGTGTATTTTTAGTAGAGGAGGGGTTTCACCATATTGGCCAGGCTGGTCTCGAACTCCTGACCTCGTGATCTGTCCATCTCAGCCTCCCAAAGTGCTGGAATTACAGGCATGAGCCACCACACCCAGCTTTGACATTCCAATATTTTTATATTTCAAATTATGTATACTGAATGATTTGGTGACAGAAATTTGCTTGCATTTACCTGTTGGCTTCAGTAAAAATGTTGCAGTAATTATGGGTATGCAAATCACTCTTTACATTACCATATATGTGAAAGTTTATATATGTGCAGCATTCTATTTGATTAGTCTACTTTTTCACCTTGAGACTCCTGCCAATTTGTTTTAATTCTGTAGCTTGTTTTTTTTATTGTTGTTGTTGTTTGGGGTTTTTTTTTGTTTGTTTTATTTTTGTTTTTTTTTTGAGATGGAGTCTCACTCTGTCACCCAGGCCAGGCTGTAGTGTAATGGCATGGTCTCAGCTCACTGCAGCCTCCGCCTCCTGGGTTCAAGTGATGCTCCCACCTCAGCCTCTTGAGTAGCTGGGACTACAGGTGCATGCCACCACACCTGGCTAATTTTTGTATTTTTAGTGGAAACGGGGTTTCAGTATGATGGGCAGGCTGGTCTCAAACTCCTGACCTTGTGATTCGCCCACCATGGCCTCCCAAAGTGCTGTGATTACAGGTGTGAGTCACTGCACCTGGCCTAATTCTGTAGCTTTTTAATGTGTTTTGAAATCAGGAACTATAATGGCTCTAACATTGTTCCTCTTTTTGAAGATTTTTCTGTACGTTGTTGTCTCTTGAAATTTGCTATACTTTTTGGGTTGCTGTTCGTAGCTCTTCGAAAATGCAGTGAGAATTTTGAAAAACATGCATTCAATGTGAAGATTACATAGAGCAGCATGAACAGTGTCACAGTAGTAATCATTTTAACCTTTGAACAAGAGCACACTCAAGGGTGTGTTACTTTCTTTTTTTTTTTTTGAGACAGAGTTTCCACTCTTGTCACCCAGGCTGGAGTGCAATGACAGGATCTTGGCTCACTGTAACCTCTGCCTCCCAGGTTCAAGCAATTCCCCTGCCTCAGCCTCCCGAGTACCTGGGATTACAGGCGCGTGCCACCACACCCAGATAATTTTTTATATTTTAGTAGAGATGAGTTTCACCATGTTGGCCAGGATGGTCTTGATCTCCTGAACTCATGATCTGCCTGCCTTGACCTCCCAAAGTGCTGGGATTACATGCGTGAGCCACCGCACCAAGCCTGTTACTTTCCATATATCTGTAAATTTTTCAGCTGTTTCTATTATTGTTTTACGGTCTTATTCCATTTTGGTCATACAAAGTAATCCATAAAATTTCAGTTTAAAAAATTTTAAGACTTTTTTTTTTTGGCCTAACAGGTGAACTATCAAGGAGAATGTTGTATGGGCTATTGAAAAGAGTGTATATCCTGATGCTGAGGAGTGTTCTGTATACCTCTGTTAAAAATATTTGTTTTATGTTGCCTTTAAGTCCTCTGTTCACTTACTAATATTCTGTCTTGTCTTATTATTACAAAAAGTGGAGTATTGAAATATCCTACTGTAATTATATTGCTCTCTATGTTGCTTTCTATGTGCTTCTTCAATTCTGTCAATATTTGCTTCATTTATTAGGAACTCTAACGTGAGATACAGACACACACACACACACACACACACACATTTGTTATAGGTTCCCAGTAAATTAATCTATTATTGTTTAATGTTCTTTTTCCCTTTGGAGTTTTGATTTCAAGTACATTTTATAAAGTATGACAGTTTTTGGCTTAAGATTTCGCTTGTATAATGTTATTTTGACCTCTTCTTTTATTTGGTTAATGTTTGCATGCAATGTCTACTTCCATCTTGCCACTTTCATTATTTTATTAGATCTCAACTGCCTCTTGCAGAAAGGCAAGTTGGATCTTGATTTTTAAATTTTCAAATAAATCCTTTTATTGAAAGTATGTCTCTTGATTGAAAAGTTAATTTTATATATATTTAAATACTTTTCTAAGGTATGTCTCTTGATTGGGAAGTTAATTTTATATTTATTTAAGTAATTTTCTAAAGGAGAAAGACTTACTAATGTTATTCTATTAATTGTTTTATTTTATTTTTGTCCCTCATTTTCTCTTTTTCTGTCTTTTTTGTGTCTTTTTGATTTTTGTATTCATATGCTTATACTTTCTCATTTTCTTTTTTTTTTTTTTTTTAAGACGGAGTCTCGCTCTGTCGCCCAGGCTGAAGTGCAGTGGCCGGATCTCAGCTCATTGCAAGCTCCGCCTCCCGGGTTCACGCCATTCTCCTGCCTCAGCCTCCCGAGTAGCTGGGACTACAGGCGCCTGCCACCTCGCCCGGCTAGTTTTTTTTTGTATTTTTAGTAGAGACGGGGTTTCACCGTGTTAGCCAGGATGGTCTCGATCTCCTGACCTCGTGATCCACCCGTCTCGGCCTCCCAAAGTGCTGGGATTACAGGCTTGAGCCACCGCGCCCGGCCTCCTTTCTCATTTTCTTTTGTGTATCTATACGGATATTTTCTTTCTGATATCTTGGGGATTACATAAAACTTAAAAGGTACAGCAATATATTTTAATCTGGTAAAAAATTAACTTCAGTTGCATACAAAAATTCTTCCTCATTACATCTGCTCTCAACTTGGTTACTGATGTAGCTGATTGTATCTTTTTGTGTTGTATATTCATTAATAGATGATAATTTCTATGCTTTTATCTTTCAACTTTTAGAGAAAAATTAAAAGTGTTTTCTGCACCATTATGGTAATGCTGTGAAATTGTTTTGTGTATGTGCATATTTTTCCCAGAAAGTTAGTATTTACGTGTGATTATTTGTTGTTTTTTATTGCATCATGTTATTTTCAGTAGAAGGAACTGCTTTCAGCATTTTTGCTATATAGGACATATATAGTGCCAATATACTTTCTCAGGATTTAATTATTTTAGAATGTCTTTTACTTCTTATTTGTTAGAACAGTTTGCTGATGATATTTTTCTCACTCGACAGAATTTTTTTTTCTAGGACTTTGACTATGTCACACAGTTGCCTTTTTGCCTGCAAAATTCTTGTTCACAGATTCACTGGTTATAAGACTATGCTAATAAATGACACATCACTTTTGTCTTGCCACTCCTAAGATTATCTTTTTGTCTGTGACTTTTGAAATTCTTCTAATATTTTTGTGTGTTATAAATATTTTGTGTGTGTGTGTCCTAGTTCGTTTGTTCAGCTTCTTCATATTTATATCATTTTTATGGTTGTGTTCTGAAAGTTTAATAATGTTTTTGATGGGCCTGTGCTGCCCTAATATTTTATATACATTATAATCTTTCATTGGGATTTGGACATTAAAAACAAGCTACCTGTCACAATCTTTATAATGTAGTAGCTTTCTCCTGGCATAGTCTGAAACAAATTGTCTTGGCTAGAGATTCTGTGAGTCTCTCATACATGTCCTTAGAATGTGTCTTGTCTGAAATTTTTTTTGTGTGTGTTTTTTTAGTTGAGTTTATTCATATTTCTTCTTAATAGTCAGTAATCACTTGATACACCTCTTCCCTGTCTGTAATACTGCAGTCTCTGTGGTGCTGTACCATTTATCTTTGGTCTCAGCACTCTCAAACTGTTATTCCAAAGTATATCCCCATTAATTTCAGCATTTTGTGTTATAGGAGACCGAAACCAGTGTCTGGTAAGAACCCTAGAAGCCAGAAATTTAGATGTATGTGCCAATATTTTTCTTGTATTTTAAAATAGAAACCAGGAGTTGGCAATTTGCTTCTGAAGGCACTGTGTTATATTAGGGGGCAGGAATAGCTGTATTGGTTAAATGTAATGTACTTTTCTTTTCCTTTTATATGATTCTGCATTGTGCTCACCTGTGGCACTGCACACATTTAACTCATTTATACATTTTCCACAAATGTATTTTGACCCTTAAGTTTTTGTTTCATTTATATATTTATGAAGAAATTAGACCCTGTGGTATTTTGATATGCTATTTTGCTTATGTCATTTGTATGCTTTTATAGGTTTGATTTGTATATTTATCTGAGCCTAGTAAGTGGAGTAATTTGTTGTTTTAATTTCTTTTAGTTATGCGTTCTCATTTTGTTGAAGAACTTTGGCCAGAGCAAAACATAAAAGATTCTTTCCAAAAAATGATACTGAGGAGATACAATAAATGTGGACATAAGAACTTACAATTAAATAAAGGCTGTAGAAGTGTGAATGAGTGTAAGCTGCACAAAGGAGGTTATAATGGACTTAATCAATGTTTCACAACTACCCAGAGCAAAATATTTCAATGTTATACATATATAAAAGGGTTTCATATATTTTCAAATTCAAATAGACCTAAAATAAGACATACTGGAAAGAAACCTTTCAAATGTAAAAAATGTGGCAAATCATTTTGCATGCTCTCTCAACTAACTCAACATGAAAGAATTCATACTGGAAAGAAACTCTACAAATGTGAAGAATGTGGCAAAGCCTTTAACTGGCCCTCAATCCTTAGTCAACATGAGAGAATTCATACTGGAGAGAAACACTATAAATGTGAAGAATGTGGCAAAGCATTTAAGCAGTCCTCAAGCCTTACTAGACAGAAGAGAATTCATACTGGAGAGAAATACTACAAATGTGAAGAATGTGGCAAAGCCTTTAACCGTTTCTCAAACCTTACTATGCATAAGATAATTCATACTGGTGAGAAACCCTACAAATGTGAAGAATGTGGCAAAGCCTTCAACCAGTCTTCCATCCTTACTATGCATAAGATAATTCATACTGGAGAGAAACCCTACAAATGTGAAGAATGTGGCAAAGCCTTCAACCAGTCTTCAAACCTTATTATGCATAAGAGAATTCATACTGGAGAGAAACCCTACAAATGTGAAGAATGTGGCAAAGCCTTCAACCAGTCTTCAAACCTTACTGTGCATAAGATAATTCATACTGGCGAGAAACCCTACAAATGTGAAGAATGTGGCAAAGCCTTCAACCAGTCTTCAAACCTTACTGTGCATAAGATAATTCATACTGGCGAGAAACCCTACAAATGTGAAGAATGTGGCAAAGCCTTCAACCAGTCTTCAAACCTTACTGTGCATAAGATAATTCATACTGGCGAGAAACCCTACAAATGTGAAGAATGTGGCAAAGCATTTAAGCAGTCCTCAAGGCTTACTAGACATAAGAGAATTCATACTGGAGAGAAACCCTACAAATGTGAGGAATGTGGCAAAACATTTGAGCAGTCCTCAAGCCTTACTACACATAAGATAATTCATACTGGAGAGAAACCCTACAAATGTGAAGAATGTGGCAAAGCATTTAAGCAGTCCTCAAACCTTACTAAACATAAGAGAATTCATACTAGAGAGAAACCCTGAAAGTGTGAAGAATATGGCAAAGCTTTTAACCAATTCTCAACCTTTACTAAACATAAGATAATTCATACTGGAGAGAAACCATACAAATGTGTTAAATGTGGCAAAGCCTTTAACCAGTCCTTGACTTTTACTAAAAATGAGAATTCATGTGAAAAATAAACCCTACTAGGCCGGGCGCGGTGGCTCAAGCCTGTAATCCCTTTGGGAGCACTTTGGGAGGCCGAGACGGGAGGATCACAAGGTCAGGAGATCGAGACCATCCTGGCGAACACCGTGAAACCCCGTCTCTACTAAAAAATACAAAAAACTAGCCAGGCGAGGTGGCGGGCGCCTGTAGTCCCAGCTACTCGGGAGGCTGAGGCAGGAGAATGGCGTAAACCTGGGAGGCGGAGCTTGCAGTGAGCTGAGATCCGGCCACTGCACTCCAGCCCGGGCGACAGAGCGAGACTCTGTCTCAAAAAAAAAAAAAAAGAAAAAGAAACCCTACTCATGTGAAGAATGTGATGAAGCCTTTAACAAGTTCTCAAATCTTATTACACGTAATACTGGAGAGAAAACATAAAAGTGTGAAGAACTTTACAAAGCCTTTAACAAGTCCTCAGTTCTTAATAGACATAAGATAATTCATCCTAGAGAGATATTCTGCAAACCTGAAAGATGTGACAATGCTTTTAACAACACCTTAAACTTTTACAAACATAAAAGTAATCATACGGGTACAAAACCCTGGAAATGTGAAGAATGTGAAAAAGCCTTTAAATGTTTTTCACACTTGATTGTAGGTAATATAATTTATATTGGAGAATTCCAAGTGTGAATAATGTGGCAAAACCTTTTTTCTTTCTTTCTTTTTTTTTTTTAGTTGGAGTCTCACTCTGTTACCCAGGCCAGAGTGCAGTGGTGTGATCTTGGATCACTGCGATCTGTGCCTCCCAGGTTCAAGTGATTCTCCTGCCTCAGAATCCCAAGTAGCTGGGATTACAGGCACCTGCCACCATATCCAGGTAATTTTTATATTTTTAGTAGAGATGGGGTTTCACCATGTTGGCCAGGCTGGTCTTGAACTCCTGACCTCAAGTAATCTACCCACCTTGGCCTCCCAAAGTGCTGGCATTACAGACATTAGCTACCACACCCCGCCAAAAAAAATTATTCTTAGATTCTTACACAAAGTGTGGCAAATATAAAATGTAATAGAAACCGTATCTTAAGGCCAGGCACAGTGGCTCACACCTGTAATCCCAACACTTTGGGAGGCTGTGGCAGGTGGATCATGAAGTCAGGAGTTCGAGACCAGTCTCGCCAACGTAGTGAAACCCTGTCTCTACGAAAAATACAAAAATTAGCCTGGTATGGTGGCACATGCCTGTAATCCCAGCTACTTGGGAGGCTGAGGCAGGAGAATTACTTGAATCTGGGAGGCAGAGGTTGCAGTGAGCCAAGATTGTGCCATTGCACTTTAGCCTGGGTGACAGAGCGAGACTCAATCTCAACAACAACAAGAAATCTTAAAATATTAAGAGAATTAGTGGCAAGTGAAGGATATTAAATGTGATTTTCTATGATATAGCACAGCTGACATTGGTATACAGAATCTTGTGGTTTTTTTTTTTTTTTTTTGAGATGGAGTCTCGCTCTGTCACCCAGGCTGGAGTGCAGTGGCGTGATCTCGGCTCACTGCAGGCGCTGCCTCCTGGATTCATGCCATTCTCCTGCCTCAGCCTCCCGAGTAGCTGGGACTACAGGTGCCCGCCACCACGCCCAGCTAAGTTTTTGTATTTTTTGGTAGAGATGGGGTTTCACAGTGTTCGCCAGGATGGTCTTGATCTCCTCTGACCTCGTGATCCTCCCATCTCAGCCTCCCAAAGTGCTGGGATTACAGGCGTGAGCCACTGCGCCCGGCCTGAATCTTCTGTTTTTAAGTGTGAATGTTAAGTGTTGCAAAATAAAATGATTTCCTGTGCATTTGAAATTTGGAATAATATTTCTTTTACATATTGATGTAACAATTTGGAGAAATTTTTCTCATTTTATTTAATTTTTTTAGTCGGTGAAGTTAAGTCTACAGTTGTTATTATTGGTCACTTAACTACCCAATCCTTGGTCATTGGTAAGAGACTGATATGGTAATTTCAATCTATTTCATTTTAGTCCCTGAGAAAACTCAATATTCCCTAATTATTTGATAGGAAAAATATTCTTATTTTAGTGTTTCTAAAACTTTAAAAAACTGTAGACCACTGAATGTATGATGATGTACATATAGACCACAATTTTTTTTATATATAATTTTAGGCTTATCCTAGCTTTTAATATAAAAACTCACTATATTTCAAAAGTAAAATTAGTGACTGTTTTAAGTCGTAAGAGGGATATTAGAATCCGTTTAACAAAGTATTTGTGTTTGGCTTAGTAATGACTACTTTAAACCAAAAATCAAGTTCTACACACTGTGATTAAAATAATTGTTTTCTAGATTTTTATTTCTACAAAATTAGAAAATTCAAAGCAAAATGTTAGGTCAGATATAAAAAGAATTGGCTATGAGGGTGTTGGGCATAAATGGTTAAGATTGAAACTCAGTATCAGGTGGTTTCTGATTGCATCCGAGTTCTGCCACGTATAGGCTGTATGACCTGAGTACAGCTGTACAGTGAGGATGACAGTGCATAAATTCTAGGGTTTTTGTCAGATTAAAGCAGTTAATGCAAATAAAGGTACCAGAAGAGTGCCCAACAAACAGTGAGTGTAAAGAAAATTTATTAGCTTTTATTTGTTAATTCTGTTACATTATAATCTATATTCACTTACAGCATAGATATAAATATCAATGAAAAGATTTCTTATTGAGTGCTGCTCTTTAACACTCCAGTAACACTAGATAAGTAAGCACTTAAACATCATGTGCTTGTCAGTTTTAAAATTAAATAAGGCAAATTGGTTCCTTATAATAATTTTCTTATTGTTGAGTAATTATGCTTATTGGATAAATTTAAATATAGTGTAAAATATATATTCAAATATATTTTTTTAAGAAAAAAATCAGAATTTTACTCTAAACAGTTGTTTTAACATCTGTCTTTTAAAGTATTATTTTGAATAGGAAATATCAACATATTTCTGAATGTTGAGTTCAGAATGCTTATAATATTAAACATTTACTTACCTACGTTACTAATTGAGGAAGCCATTTGAGATACAAAAAATATATGTATATGTTTTCTGAAATTTTTGTTTTGTTTTGCTTTGAGATGGAGTTTTGCTCTTGTTGCCCAGGCTAGAATGCAATGGCATGATCTCGGCTCACTGCAACCTCCGCCTTCCGGGTTCAAGTGATTCTCCTGCCTCAGCCTCCCGAGTAGCTGGGATTACAGGCATGCGCCACCACACCCAGCTAATTTTGTATTTTAGTAGAGACTGGGTTTCTCCATGTTGGTCAGGCTGTCTTGAACTCCCGACCTCAGGTGATCCATCCGCCTCGGCCTCTGAAATTGCTGGAATTACAGGTGTGAGCCACCGCACCAGATGTTTTCTGAAATGTTGAGATTGAAAAAACACTTTTTTTCTCTGGCCCGATTTCTTAAGGTTTATTTCTCTCTCTTTAAGAAAAAAGTTAATACTATTTTTGATTGACAAATCATAGTTGTATACATTTATGGGGTGCAATGTTATGTTTTAATATATGCATATAATATAGAACAATTAAGTTAAATAACATTAACTTTCTTACCTATCATTTTTTTGTGGGGAGACATTTGAAATTCGCTCAGTTGTTTTGAAATATACAATACTTTTTTTTTTTTTTTTTTTTTTTGAGACAGAGTCTCACTCTGTTGCCCAGGCTGGAGTGCAATGGCCCAATCTTGGCTCATTGCAACCTCCACCTCCTGAGTTCATGCAATTCTCCTGCCTCAGCCTCCTGAGTAGCTGGGACTACAGGGGCACACCACCATGCCTGGCTAATTTTTGTATTTTTAGTAGAGATGGGGTTTCACCGTATTGGCCAGGCTGGTCTCAAACTCCTGACCTTGTGATCCACCCACCTTGGCTTCCCAAATTGTTGGGCTTACAGGCGTGAGCCACCACACCTGGCTAATACATTATTGTTTACTGTGGTCATCCTGGTGTGCAACAGATCTCAAAACCTCCTTACCCTATTTAAAACTTTGTACCCTTAGAGGAAAAACTATCTGTTCTCTTTTTATCACCCCTAGCGTCTGGTAACTGTTATTTCACTTTCTGCTTTTTTGAGTTGAACTTTATTATATTCTACATAAAAATAAGATCATTCAGTATTTGTCTTTCTGTGTCTGGCTTATTTTATCTAGCATACATAATGTCTTCTAAATGTATCTATCTGGTTTCAAATAATGGGACGTACCCCTTTTTAAAGCTAAATAGTGTTTTGTTTTGTATCTATACCACATTCTTAGAAGAATTAATTTAAATATATATTCAAAAAACTTGTTATGAAAAGATATTTCTTTTTTAAAATATGTATTAATGTAACAGCATATAAATATCCTATTAAAAGTAGCTAATTTATACTAGCACTAACCATAACACCATATATGCATCAATAAATTTATTTATTATTTATTTATTTATATTTTAAGATAGAGTTTCGCCCTTGTTGCCCAGGCTGGAGTGCAATGGTGTGATCTTGGCTTACTGTAACCTCTGCCTCCCACCTTCAAGTGATTCTCCTGCCTTAGCCTCCAAGTAGCTAGGATTACAGGCATGCATCACCATGCCCAGGTAATTTTGTATTTTTGGTAGAGACCAGTTTCTCCATATTGGTTAGGCTGGTGTTGGACTCCCGACCCCAGGTGATCCGACCACCTTGGCCTCCCAAAGTGCTGGGATTACAGGAGTGATCCACCGTGCCTGGCCTTTTTTTTTTTTTTTTTTTTTTTGAGATGGAGTTTCACTCTTATTGTCCAGGCTGGAGTGCAATGGTGCAATCTCAGCTCACCACAACCTCCACCTCCCAGCAAGCAAATATCCTGCCTCAGTCCCCAAAGTAGCTGGGATTACAGGCATGCACCACCATGCCTGGCTAATTTTGTATTTTTTTTTTAGTAGAGAAGAGGTTTCTCCATGTTGGACAGGCTGGTCTCAAACTCCCAACCTCAGGTGATCCACCCACCTTAGCCCCCTAAAGTGCTGGGATTACAGGTGTGAGTCATCGCACCCGGCCAATACATTTATTTTTTTTTACAGTAACTTAATAACAGGTCTGGCTGTGAGCAGTGGCTTACACCTGTAATCCCAGCACTTTGAGAGCCCATGACGGGTGGTTCACGA